ACTAGACTTTCCTTCCCTCATACCTCAACAAATGAGAAAGCGATGAACAGGGACATGGCTCTTGCCTCCCTTCCAGTCTCCCAGAATGAGCACTGAGAGCAAGGCATGGTGCATGGGTGATAGTTCACTGTTGTGAACAACATGAGTAAGAGCTGCCCAACTGACTGGTTTGCATAGTTCTGGGTGTGACTGGATGGATTTACTGAAGGTGGAAGGCGAACCCTGCTTGTGGATGGCACCAACCAATAGGTTTGTAGCCCAGATGGGATAAAAAGGGAAAGAGGGAAGGCTCACTTCTATTTCTTTTCTTTTTTTTTCTTTTTTTGGTACCGGGGATCCAATGTGGGACCTTGTGCTTGTGAGGCAGGTGGCTGAACCACTGAGCTAAATCCCTGGCCCAAATGTTGTGGTTTTCAATGCAATATATGTAAGAACTGAATTTTTATTTATTTATTTATTTTGGTACCGGGGATCAAACTTGGGACCTTGCACTCTCGAGGCAGACGCTGGAACCACTGAGCTAAATCCTTGGCCCTCACTTCTATTTCTTTTGAGGGTCTCCACTCTTTGCCTTCACCTTGGATATCTGTCTTCTGGCTTCCAGTGCAGACTCTTCAGCCTTACAACTCAGACCTTTCAGCTTCTTGATATGGACTTGCACAGCACTCTACAGTGAGCTCCAGGCCTCTGGCTTTTGACTGGCTCCTTCAGATCTCCAGGGCACAGACAGCCCTTTTGTACTCTTCCACATCTGACTCTGTGGGCAGCCATTGCAAGCCTACCTTGTAAATACATACATATGGAGATATATAGATAGATAGATAGATAGATAGATAGATAGATAGATAGATATATCTTACATTAAATGTTTCTTTAGTGCACACTAACTAATATAGCATGCCTATAATCCCAGCAGTCTGGGAGGCTGAGGCAGGAGGATTCTAAATTTGACTCCAATCTGAGCAACTGAGCAACTTAATGAGATTAAAAAGAATTTTTTTAAGGGATAGGAATGTAGCTGAGTACAAATGCCCTGGTTTCCAAGTCCCATTGCTGGGAAAATTAAAAAAAAAATAAGGAAAGCCTTCTCTTTCCTTGATGTGGTCTCTTGCAGGCCTCTTAGTCCAAATGCAGAGGACTTTAGGGTTGGCTTCTTTCCCCTGTGTCACATCCAAATGGACTGAATAAGTATTGACTAATTTATGAGATATTAATGAACTGAAGTCTCATGGGAATACAGGTACAGAGACAGGCCTGGCAGCTGTGTCTAAAACTATTATCTAATCTCTTAATGTACTAGACCACATTATATTTCTTTAGAGAATTTCCAGAATGAATTTCCCTAGATCAAGTCTACAAATCTAACCTTTGCTAACAAAGGTGAACAGCAAGCTCTCAGAAATCCCATTTGGTGAGGTCCTGGGTTTGATCCCAGAACCACAAAAAAAAAAAAAAGGAATTTTTAAAACCACAGAAATATAGAGCTGTCCTTGGTATCCCTGAGAGATTGGGTCCAGGACACCATTATTTACAGATGTTCAAGTCCCTTACATAAACTGGGATAGTATTTGCATATAATCTATGCACTTCCTCTACTATACATGAAATCATCTGTAAATCACTTATGATATGCAATACAATGTAAATGCTATATACATAATTGTTATACTGCAATGGTTTTTAAATTTGTAGTAACATTATTTGCTTTTTATATTGTCCATCTGCAGCTGGTTGAATCTGAGCATATGGAGCCTGCAAATACGAAGGCCTGGCTGTATCTGCCACCTTCCCCAAATCTATATTTCTTATTCCAACCAATTTAAATGTGGCAGCCACAGAAAACAGAATCTGCAGAGATATGCTCATTGGTTCCTCGAGAGCCATCCTGCAGAAAAAGTGGCAACCTCCCTAGGGAGCTGCAGCATTGCTCCTCCATGTGTGTTCAGAATGGTGGCGGCCTGGCTGCATGGATGGACAGGGGAGGGGAAAGTGGACACAGGGGAGAATTGGGCAAGGGCTGCCAAATGCACTGCTCTCTGACACTCGAGGAGGTCAGTGAGTGAGACTAGGCAGGTTGTTCTAATGGGGCAGCAGCCATCTAGCTCCAACCTATGGTTCTTATGCAAAGACTCAGCACTACTAAATCTACCATTTAAAGAAAAACCCCCAAATCTGGACTTGTATGTAAAAATTTACTGATTTTTAAATCAATTTTTGCACTGCCCCATGCAGGCCAAATAATGCATGTTTATGAGCTAGATTAGTTCCCTAGGTTTTGTCAATTTGCAAACTCAGTTCTAAAGTTCCTTAAAATGTTTTGAAAGTAGAAAATCATACAATATCAATAACTGTTTCAAGAGATCCCCTAAAAGGGATCTGTAGGTGGAAAGAGAAGAATACTGGACTCAGAATACAAACTGTGTGGTTTATTGGCCAAAGGACCCTGCACATGTTATACAACAAAGCTGTGGATTACTTATAAAATGGACATAGTCTCATCTGCCATTTGTATTATGCAGGCTACTGCAAAGAACAAATCAAACTATCAAGGCAAGAAATCTTATCATAAACTCTAAAGCATCATGTAAATCAAAGAATTGACCATGTAAACTTCTGGAAGACATATAACAAGTCATATTCAATACATAGTGGTTGTGTTTACCTGCACAGAGGGACTCAATAAATGTTTTAAATTGACTTGAATGTTTTCCTGACACAATCCAAATGACTTACAAAAATAGCTCATAAGATTATTAAGGATGACTCACATAATGACTGATTAGTGCAAAAACTACTGATCAAAGTTCCTACTTCTTGATATTACATATTAATGTGTGGGTTTTCTATCTGGTAGAAAAGATAACATTTGTAGGTCATTAGCGAATTTTGTATTTAACTCACAATTCTTATCCTAATATTCTTTAATTAAGTTGTTTATATTACCTAGATTTTCAAATATCCTTTAACACATTCCCACTGGCTTGAACCACTGGTGGAACATGCAGGATTGTCCCATTGAGTGGCTTGTACCACCAGACAGTGAGATATATGAATCACAGCCCTGTTGTGAACATGTTAAACCCATTTTTAACATCTTACTGGTTCCCTCATTAAGTAATGAATGGGCTGAATGAAACCTTTGACTTGTATTAATTTTATAGTTGCATGAGAATCATAAGTGTACCCTTTGGAAAATTATACTCTAATGTAGCCTGTCTTTTCCTGGTCAAACTAAGTTCATGGCAGCTGTTCTCCACTTGTCCTACTGTTTTCCAGTTTATATCAGTAGCATCAGTATTGAAATTTAAACAGGCATGATGTCAGAAAATCATTATGTTATTTGCTATCTTTTGAGATAAAAGACAGACGCTGCATTTTAAAATATTTTCCCTTCACTCATTTACTCCTTTTTTCCAATAACCACTTCTAAAATATATGTAGGACATTGTGGAGGACATGAAGGTGAATATAAGTACTCCCCCTCCTTAAGGGAATGTAGAAATGAGTGAGGTACAGATCTGATTGCTGATAACTAAAATACTAAAGAACGTAGATCAAGGGCTAGAGAGATTCCTGAAGGCATCAGTGATGAATTTGGAGAAATGAGGGATGGTATGACAGAAAATAGAGCTGGATCTGGAAGGGCCGTGGAGAAGCCAAGGAAAGGATGCTCCCAGCAGAGAGAACAAACAGTTCCAGGAGTGTGCTGGTGCCAAGTGCTCTCTTGTAACTGGGATATATGTGGGTTTTGGAGAACACCTGGGAAAGGATTTGGGAGACCTTGGGGTCTACTATTTTCTAACAAACTACCCCACACTTCAGCAGCTTAAAACAACATTTCTTTATTTCTCATACATCTGTCGGTGGGCTGATCTAGGCTGGACTCAGCGAGAGTGTTTCTGCCCCAAATCTCTCTCATCCATTTCTGGCACTACAGACTCACCTAGGGAATTTTCTCTCGTAGGGTGGCAGAGCCGCAAGACAGCAAGTCACAAGGTACTATAGTTTGGATCTGAAAAAAAATCCCCTAATGGCCCATGTATTAAATAAAGGCTTGGTCCCTAGGGTGACACTATTGGGAGCTGCCAGAACCCCTAAGAGATAGGGCTTCGTGGGAGGCCTCTAGGTCATTGGACGGTGACGAGGGGACCCCTGCATCATCACACACTTTTGCTCCCTGCCCATGTGGTGAGCAATTTCTCTCTGCCATGTGCTCCCACCAGGATGTGCTGCATCACACAGGCCTGAAAGCAACACAGCCAACTGATCATGAACTGAAATCTTCAAAATCATGAGGCAAAATAAACCTTCCTCCTTTGAGATGGCTATCTCTGATATTTGTTATAGTAAGGAAAACTGACTAACACATATGGCTAATCCAAAGCCAAGGGATGGGGATGTATTCTGGCCCTTTAGTGGGTGAAATTACAAACTCATAGGGCAAAGGACATAGATTATCTGACATAGGGAGTGGACAGAGAGGGGTGAAGAACTGGAGTCAATGATGCAATCTACTACAGGAAGAGACCGCAAAAAACCTTAGTACCCTGGCAAAGAATTCAACTTGGCTCTAGGCACAGGTATACTATCTTTTAAACCAAAGGAAAATATTCTCAGATCTATGTTAGAAAGGTGATTTTGCCTGTTATCTAAGTGGATTAGAAACTTTACAACCATTTGAACTAGGATAGTGGCTGTGGGAAAAAGGGAGAGAGGGACAAATTAAAAATAGTTATTAAGTAAAATAAAGTAGGTCATAATTTAGACAAAGGGTAAAAAAATCAAAGATACCACTCCTAAATTAGGAGTTTCTAAATTAGGATGATGAAACCACTGGCTGATAATAATACTAGCTACTTTTATTGAGCATTTATTTTGCACCAGCTACTGCTGGAAATATTTTTACATGAAGCACTACTACAAAGTGCCACATAAAAACGTCATGACAGTTTTAGATATTCCTACTTTATAAATGATATTCCTACTTTATAAATGAAAAAAACAAGACTTAAAACATTTGAACAACTTACCCAAAGTCTTTCCACTAGTAAATAACAGAGCTGGGATTTTTTTTTCACTGATTTAATAATTTATTTAATAATACTTTAATATTAATTTTTAACAGTTCCCATGCCATGGGTATGATAGAAAGCAGATGCATGACCCTGAATGGTAGGAATGATCAGAAACTTCTCAATAGAGTCTCATATCTTCATTGTCATTTAGAGATAATGAAACAATATCAACATATTCAATTCCTAAAGTTCCTGCAATTATCTACAAGTTCTTTAATATTCAGCTTCATTAAGGAGGTTTTTAAGAGTAAGTTATCATTATGCCTCATTTAGAATGGTGTTTTCTGCTTCATTGTGATTTTCAACACCAATAGGATATGGTGCTTGCCCTAAGAGAAACGGTTCCCATTTGGGAATATACTCTTCTACTGATGCCCAGTAACGAGTCTCAAGAGAAACCACCTCAGGCGGTGGATGTGGGTGAATCTTGCTCTGTAAAGACTTTTCAGCTGCTTCTATGTCCCTTAAGAGGCTAAGATTCCTTTGGAAAGCAGTCTCAGCTGAGATGGGCAATCTCAGCTGAGATGCCTTTTCTGTGTTTTGATCTCCAAATTTATTCTCCATTTGTTGAAGTAACATTAATCTTTGTGATACTATTTCCTTGTGTCTTTTAGAAAGGCAAATTTCTTGAGTGAACAAGGAGGACATCTTCAATCAAAGCTTTTATAAACTTTCTGGTAAATAATAAAACATTTGAAGTTACTTGTACCACATGTGCTCAACTTTGCATTATCCGATCATTTAGTACTTGAGTCATTGGTTTTTCTGAGAAGCGAAAATAAACCCGTGGTGAAAGCGCCTGGACCAAGTCGGTCAGAGGTCGGTGAAAAGCTCTGAGGGCCACGCTCGAAGGCTCATCCCCTGGATGGGCGCAAACCCTGGAGGTGCCTGACAGCTACTGCCTGCTCAGAGCACCGCAGGCCGATCCTCGACGCCTGGCTTTCCAGTTCCTTTCGGCAACGGAGCCGACTAACGCAGCACCAAGGAAATGGCGGACAGCCGGTCACTCCGGTCACTCCTCTGCGACGGCCGCAGTCTGCACCTCAGGCGAACCCCGGCCGGGGCAAATTCTTTCTGCTGTCTCAGCCTCAGGCTCTCCCGAAAACCGCCCCAAGTGCCGCCGATACCGGAAAAACTTCTGAACTTTCCCCTCCACGTCCTCCTCCCCCGCCCTGCCCACACCTGCGCCGCGGCCCGCCCCCAGAGCTGGGATTTTAAAGTGACACTCTCAGACTCTAGAATTTGAGTTCTTATGTAAAGGTGCAAATTTCCAATGATGAATGTCATTATATTGTATACCTAAAATGTACCAATGATTAGAATGAATAATCGATAATGTAGAATAGGAAGAAAAGGTCCAAAGGGGTAGGGGTAGTGGGAGGGGCAGGGGAAAGGAAAGAAGGGAAAGGAAAAAGAAAAAAGAGAAAAAATGGAAATAAAGTCTTTGTAAATAGGGAAGGGTGGAGGGCGTGAAGGGAGGGCTAGGAATGGGGAAAAAATAAGAACCAAGATGCATTATATAAAGGTACAATTCCCAATGAGTAATGTAATTGTGTTGTATACCTACAATGTACCAATAAAAGAATTTAATACAAAAAAAAAAAAAGAATTTGAGTTCTTGTCCTCTATGGTCTGCCTCATTAGGAGCAAGATCACACATGAGAATCAGCTCTAGGAGAGGAACTAACACTAGATTTGGAGAAGGGACTGCATTTGCGACTTTTATATTCCTACTCACCATTCTTTTTTTTTTTTGGTACCGGGGATTAAACTCTGGGACCTTGCGTTTATGAGGCAGGCGACGGCACCACTGAGCTAAATCCTTGGCCCTCACCATTCTACTTTTAAGTACTAAAATGCCAGTATATTTGTTGACGCAAAGTATCCCTTTGACATTTTAACATACCTTAAGTTTGAATAATTTACATATTAAATTTACGCCGGGGATTTAGCTCAGTGGTTCCAGCGCCTGCCTCGCAAGCGCAAGGTCCCAAGTTCGATCCCCGGTAACAACAACAACAAAAAAATTTACCCAGAGAATCAATTACATGCTTCATCTGGACTCAAAGTTTCATTCATTTGGACAACATTCAAAACTTGTCCCTGCCCTGTTCAAAATCAGCATAGTTGAAAGCCCTCCCAAACCATCTTGCTGCCATTCCATGTCTGCTAATAAGGGTGAGCAGCCTTTAAGTGGAGCTATCATTTCTGCTTGCCACACAGCCTTCTGTGGACTCTTCACTATTTTCTGTGCTCCCTAAGGGAATTGTTTTAGAATGGCAAGGAAAGGAAGAGCAAGTAATTAAAGTGGGGAAAGAAGAGAATATACTGGAGAATTAGGGAAGAAGGGGATTGGAAGTTCCTGCCCAGCTCTAGTTTGGCCACTTTCTTTTTTCTAAGCCCTGAATCTCCCCATTCTTCTCTCCCTTTATCTTTATTTTTAAAATTTGTATTAATACATGTTTGAAGTACATAATGATTACATTCATTGTGGGGAATTAATGCATGTTCATAACATACCTCGATTCTTTTTTTCTCCCCTTCCTATCTACTCTCTTTAAACAATTATTTGTCAGCATCAGGTTCATTTATCTTTTAGTTTCTTGTAAAGTTAATTATCATACACACAGATTAACAGCCATACTAACAGGCCAAAAACCATATAAAATACATAAGACAGTTATACTAAGGTACCCCTTTAGATACTGTCTATACTTGATTATAATAACTTTTTTCTCTTTTTTTCCTTATTGTCTTTTATTCTATTTATTCTTTAGGTTTCTCATATAAGAGAAACCATGTGATATTTAACCTTGTGTGTCTCATTTACTTCACTTAACATTATGATCTCGAGGTGCATCCATTTTCCTTCAAATGATTCAAACTCATCCTTTTTATGGTAAAATAGTACTCCATTGTGTATAAGTAACATTTTCTTTATCCATTCATCTCTTGATGGACATGTAGACTGCTTCCAAGATTTAATTATGAATTGTGCTGCTATAAACATCACTGTGATATGTTGTCTTCAACTCTTGGAAAGATACCTAGAACAGGAAGAGCTGGGTCAAATGGAATTTCTATTTTTAGATTTTTGAGGAATCTCAACACTGACTTCCTTAGTAATTGTACCAATTTATATTCATACCAATAATGAAGAAATGTTCCTTTTTCTGCCCACAGCCTTGCCAGCATTTATTATCAGTTGATTTCTTGATAATGGCCATTCTTTCTGGAGTTGGAATCTCTGTTATTTTCATTTGTATTTCTTGAATGGCCAGTGATGTTGAACATTTTTTCATGTATTAGCCATTTGTACTTCATCTGAGAAGTGTCTACTCATTTCAGATGCCCATTTTTGATTGGGCCTTAAAATTTGGGAGGTCTAATTTTTTGGAGTTCTTTATATATTCTAGATATTACTCCTTTGAGGAAGAGTTGGCAATTTTTTTTTCCCATTCTGTAGGTTGTCTTTTCACTCTGTTGGTGCTTTCCTTTGTTGTACAGAAGCTTTTTAATTTGATATGCTCCCATTTGTTGATTCTTGGTATTATCTCTTGTGCAACCACGGTTCTGTTCAGAAAGTCTTTGCCTATGCCTATGTCTTCAAGAATTTTACCTAGTTTGTCTTCCAGCAGGTTAATATTTAGATCTTTGATTCATTTTTGGTTTAGTGCCTGGTAAGACATATGGATCTAGGTTCCATTTGTGTTATGTGGATAGCCAGTTTTCCCAGCCCCATTTACTAAAGAGGCTATCTTTCCTTCAGTGAAAGTACTTGGCCCCTTTGTCAAAGTTAAGGTAGCTGAGTGTGCCTGGAGCTGTTTGTACATCCACTATTCTGTTTTGGTATTCTAGGCCTCCTCTCAATCCATGTAAATTTTAGGATGGTTTTCTCCAGTTCTGTGAGGAATGCTACTTGCATTTTGATTGCGATTGTGTTAAATCTGTGCGACAGTTTCAGAAGTATGGCTATTTTGACTATAATGGTTCTGCCTATACAGGAACAGGGGATATCTTTCCATTTTCTGATGACCTCTTCAATTTCCTTTTTCAGAGTGCTGTATTTTTTATTGTAGAGGGCTTTCATTACCTTCATTAGGTTAATCCCTAAGTATTTCATTTTTCTTGATGCTATTGTGAAAGGTATTATTTCCCTACTTTCTTTCTCAGTGAGTTTATTACTGGTGTACAAGAATGCTATTGATTTTTGAGTGCTGACTTTGTATCCTGCTATGGTACTGAATTTGGTTATTAAGTCTGTGTCCTTTGCTGGAGTTTTTTAAGTCTTCTATGTAAAGAATCATGTTATCTGCAAATGATGGTAATTTAACTTCTTGCTTTCCTATCTATATCCCTTTTATTTCTTTTTCCTGTCTAATTGCCTTGTTTCAAGAACTGTATTGAACAGGAGTGATGATAGTAGACTTCCTTGTCTTATTCTTGATTTTAGAGGAAAAGCTTTCAGCTTCTTTCCATTTATTATGAAGTTGGTCACTGGCTTGTCATAGATGGCTTTATCAGATAAAAATAAAGACCTATTTCTTTTTCTTCTGGGATTTTATGAATAGATGGATTTTGTCAAATGGTTTTTCTGCATCTATTGAAATGATCATATGATTTTATCTTTGCTTCTGTTTATGTGATGTATTACATTTATTGATTTGCATATGTTGAATCATCCCTGCATCCCTGGAATGAATGCTACTTGGTCATGCTGTATGATCTTTTTGATGATTTGGTGCATTCTGTTTGCTAGTAACTTATTGAGGATTTTGCACCTATGCAAAGAGATTGGCCTGTTGATCTCTTTTTCAGTTGGGTCCTTTTCTGATTTTGGAATCAGGGTAGTATTTGCTTCCAGGAAAGACTTTCCTAGTAGTAGTTCCCTTTTGATTTCAATAAAGAGTTTAAGGAATATTGTCATTAAATCTTCTCTAAAGTTCTTGTAGAATTTGGCAGTGAGCCCATCAGCATCTGGACTTTTCTTAGTTGAATTTTTTAAATTATTTGCTTTATTGACTGACATTGAATTATTCAGGATTTTTATATCATCTTGGTTCAGGTTTGATAGTTTATATATATCTAGGAATTCATCCATTTCTTTTGAATTTTCCATTTTGTTACAGTATAGGTTCTTAATGTAGTTACTGATGATCTGGATTTTGGCAGAATCTGTGATTTTGTCTTTTCCACTTCTAATTCCATGGATTTGGGTCTTTTCATTCCTTATTTTGGTAAGATTGCTTAAAGGTTTGTCTATTTTGTTTATTATTTCAGAGAACCAACTCTTCGATTCATGAATTCTTTTTTTTAAAACTCAATTTCATTAATTTCTGATCTTTATAGTTTCCTTTGTCATATTAGATTTGGATGTGGACTGTTCTTGTTTTTCTAGGATCTTGAGGAGCATCATTAGGTAACTTATCACTATAAACTTCCCTCTTTGGACTACTTCCACTGTGTCCTGTAGGTTTTGGTATGTCTTACTGGCATGTTGTTTGATTGTAGGAACTAATTTCTTCTTTAATTTCATCTGTGATCACTGATTATTGAAGAGGATATTATTCGTGTTTGGATAGTTTCTGTAGTGTCTTTTGTCAGTGACTTTTAGTTTCATTCCACTATGTTCGGTATGATACGTATGGGATTATTTTGATTCTGTTTACTTAAGCATGTTTTACGGGCTAGTTTGTGGTCTGTTTTGGAGAAAGTCCCGTGTGCTGCTGAGAAGAATATGTATTCTGTTATTGTTTGATGGAACAATCTGTAGATATCTATTAAGTCCATTTGTTTGAAGGTTTGGTTTAATTCTGATATTTGATTTTTTTGCCTAGTTGATCTGTCCATTTTTGACAGTGGGGTATTGAGGTTCTCCATTACAACTGTATTGGTTTTATTCATTTTCCATGTCCATTAGTATTTGCTTTATGAAATTGGGACTGGTGTTTGTTGTGTATACATTTACAATTGTTATTTATTCCTGTTGAATTATGAATTTCTTTACCTCTTCTGATTATAGTCTTGGCTTGAAATCTACTTTGAAATTAGGATAGCTACCCCTGTTTTTGTCTGGGTTCCCATTACATGAGATATTTTTCACATCTTTTGATATTTAATGTTTTTAATTAAATGTGCTCCTTGCATATTGAATATTAATGTTCTGTTTCTTGATCCATTCTGTCAATC